TGTTCCTTATGTTAAAGTATGACGATATGATCCAAAACACCTATGTCCAAAGTTGAATGGTTACGGAGATAATGGCCAGAGAAGTGTGAAACTTTGACAGGTGTTACACACTTGTTGATTACCAAATGCATATTAAAACTAGCAGGAATATGTGGTTTCTGTAATGTTAATAATGTACATAACATCAAACTAACTTGTGAGTGACACGAAGCCATTAAATTGAACTACAAAAAAAAACTCGCCCGCCATGTCATAGTTGTCGTTAGGGTTCCAAGTACTATACATGACACATGAATGGCAAGCACTGACATAACATGGCTGACTGCGCATTCTAGTATGCGAGCGTATGCGGCTAGTGTGAGCCGGCATCACCAAACTCAAGGACAAACATCGATAAGACGTCTCAGCTGACAGGTACAGTGCGTGGACCCGCCAGAAGACCACACTTTTCTCGGGTCATTATCTCCGTAACCGTTCAACTTTGGACATAGGTGTTTTGGGTTATATCGGCATACTTTAACATTAGGAACACCCTCCCGAAGTCTGGCATAGTACTCCTGGAACACGCTGTATAGAACTTTCAGAAGTACATTTCGCTGTCATACGTGGTATGTCTGTTCAATTCTCAGCTAAAAGAAATAGACTGAGATTTTCATAAATTGTTTTAATTTATTATAACAACAAATATAAAGATAATATACAAAATTGTGTCTTTTCCTCCTAAATAGCCTGTTAATATCTGTATAGTATACATTTTCCCACATTATTAAAATAATGTATGAAAATTATTTACGGATAATGTTATCCTCCAGTTTACACTTGTATTAGGCAGGAGAGAACTTTTTTGTTTATTTACCTGTTGCAGGAAAATTCATAATTACATATAAAGAGACACATTCATCAACTCTTAAGAGGCTACGATGTGATCTTGTGGCATGCGCATAGAGGTATAACCTCCAAAATCCTTAACTCTACCAGAATATCCATGTTTGTAGGTAGAGGAATATTCCTGGGGAAGTCATAGTTTGCTCATAATGATAAGCTGAAAATGCTGATGGGCAGAAACTACCGAGAGGAACGTAGCACAGGTCAGACTAACTTCATTAATCAGAGAATTCCTTATACTTAATATGGGAACCTCATTTTTTAATGTTGACCGCCTCTGTGGTCTAGTAGTCAAGAGTTCCTAGCAACAGATCCGGAGGTGCCGGGTTCTACTCCCGGTGCTACCAGTATTTCTGAGAAGTAGTGGGTCTGGAACGGCGTCCACTCAGCCTCGTGAGGATAATTGAGGAGGTATTGCAATGAAATAGCGGCACCGATCTAGAAAACCGAAACTAAAGGCCGTGGGGATTCGTTGAGCTGACCAACGCGATACTCTCTATCCGCTAAATTTGGCACTAACTTCGCCGACGAGTGGCGGTCGCTCGGTCGGTATAGTTCGCTTGCGGACTACAGGCCACGGAGTTTTTTTTTTTTTGCTTAAGATGCTTGCAGCTAAATTTTACTTATTTATGGAGCTGAGCCCTTCTTGAGGAGCCGCCAGATCTGCAGCTACTCAAGAATTTCCAGCATTTTATTGAATCCGAAGGTTTATTACCGTGTTCACAAGAGCCCTCCACTGGTCCCTATCCTGAGCCAGATCTATCCAATACATACCATCCCATCCTTCGTCTCTAAGAATCATTCTAATATTGTCCACCCACCTACGCCTTGGTCTTCCCTGTGGTCTCTTTCCTTCTGGCTTTCCCACCAATATCCTACACGCATTCCTCGTCTCCCCCATTCGTGCTACATTAC